AGCTAATAATTGAATTTCCTATCATATGTTAATCAATTTTTATTTAGAAAACATGATTTTTGAGTTATGGAATCCTATATTTTGATACCAAACCATTATGATACCAAACCATAATTGATGAATATTATGGATTATTAAATGATTGTTGAACTAAGAATATGAATTGATGAATAATGTTGTTAAGGATATCTAGAAGAACTCTAAAGATATATCCACTTGTATAATGATGATGATTATTAAGGATATCTAGAAGAACTCTAAGACATACCTCCTTGACCAATTCATATTTCGGGCTTAAAACGTACGTACGGGATCCAGACCGGATATCACCCACCCGACAAATCATTGTTTGGTTGGTACGTAATCCACATGACTCATAGGGTGGATTATCGATTCTTGTGTTCTGCATTAAACTATTTATAGTTTAAGGGCCTGGTTAGAATTACTGCCTTAGACTAGGAATAGCTAAGAGCTGAATATAAAATGATGTGGCCTTAGATTAAGAATAATTTAAGAGCATTATTGATATATATTGAATATCAAATGACTTGGAATAAAATATTGAAAATATTTTGAATGTTTGAACCATATATTGTGTGCATGATATCAAATGGTTGATTATGAATTGAGATTCAATTTATGTGGATGTTCAATGTTTTAGATATGCTTACTCAGCTTCACCGCTGAGCGTGTAGTGTGTTTTATTTTCTACACGCAGGTAAACAGAAAGTTTAATGTGATCCTGGCGGCAGATGGGGCGAGATTGTCAGGATGGATGTGACAAGTTTTGAAATAATTTATGATATGTCAATATTAAATTCGCTTCCGCAATATTGTTAAATACTCCGTACTGTATATGTTATGAAAAATATTATTGGGATTAATAAAGTGTGTTTGAAATGTTTTAAATTATCACGATTACCAAATCAATACTTTAGTCTGAATGGGGCTGCAGACCTGGACGGATTAGGGTGTTACACTAAGGCGTTCCTCGGCTCATCTACCGCGTGGGGATGATCACCGAAGGGCAGGGGGTCCCTGCGCAATCTAGCTCATGCATCATGGTTATTTGGCATTTACATCATTGTTTAATTGTAAACTTATATTCATCAAACTTGTATGTGGTATCTCGTACTTTAGTATATGTAGAATTATGTTTATATCAATGTGAATGTACTATGCGTTCCACTGTTAGATTACCACTCAGCTTTTGCTGAGTGTATAGCGTTGTCTTTGCTATACGCAGGTAGGCAAGAAAATCATGGAGCCTAACCCGGACGATTGGGAGATAGGGGCAGCGGAGCGACGGCAGTGGGGATCCGATTTATTTTCTATTTTTTAATCAAAACGTTTTGGGCTTAAACCCACCAATGTCGCACTTCATAATTTATGACTTTACATTCATTATTTACATTTACTTCCACTACGAGACATTCTCTTTAAAGTAATTTATTTCCATAATTTAATAAAGTGTACCAAGAGTTTTCAGTTACAAGAGCAACGCAAGGGTTTTCCTAGTACATGGTCCTAAAAACAGTCTACGTAACCTCTCCGTCTCGTTAGGCCGCGGTGAACCGGGTTCGCGGGAGGGAGGGTGTTACAGGATCGATCCAAGCAATGGATCGATCACCTGAAGAATATTTCCCAAACATGGAGGACCCAAACATGTGTGCGAGTTGAATGTACAAATTTAGACCAATTGATTTGTTCTGGACAAGAAATCAGGGATGAAGAGGCTACCATAATCGAATAAATAATATGGGTTTGAGATAAATTAATTCAAATTCAAAATTTGAATTAAGAAATGATTTTTGTGATGTAGAAATTGAGTCCCAAGAATATTTTGTGTATCAAACGGTATACACAAAAAATATTTAAATTATATTTTTCTTACCACAAAAAATTTGTATATCTTAAAAAATATTTTAAGAAATTTTGACACACTATTATGAAACTGACTTAGTAAATTATTTTTAGACAGAGAAAAAATGATTTTTCAACTAACTCAAAAAATAATAATGTGTCCCTCAAAAATTCCTAGACTCAATAAAAGTTAAAAGCCTTCGGAATCTTCACTTCACTTCAAAAGTTCTACGTAGGGGTGAGCGTTGATTTTTATTGCCATAA